CCACACTCCCAAGCGACCGAACGGCACAGCAACAGAGCCATGGATGCTCCCAAGACCTTATACCTTTTATGGCAAGGAGTCGTTTTGTGCCCAGGTTTGAAAATATTGTACACATGGTGGATGGCCGCGATTTGTCTAAGAAGCTCCACATCGCTCTGTACGACGATCAGGAGTGGACCACGTGGCAGTGTTCAGGTTTCAAAGACTTGGATAGTAAGAACCCTTACGGAAAGAGCTGGAATCACTCAAAAGGTTGCAGAATATGTGGGAGCACTGGAGTGGGTTGAACTGGGTGACCTTGGTGTGTGGTTGTATAGCGTGCCATGCCTTTTTTTTTGAGTCTTCTCATTAGAAGGGTCACTTTCAAGTTGGTGTCGACTGCGCCGAAAAACGGTCTCAACGATGCTACTAACGATGTGCCAATGTCTTGCTCGTGTAGCCTGGCGAGTGGCATTGACCAATGGGACTGGGTTGGTGTCCATGGGATCATAGGATTTTAGCTTGCAGCATGCAGAAGGAGGGATCTAATGACAGATTCTACTAATGACAGATTCTAATCATAGATTCTGACAGGATCTACAGGGTTGGACAGTTTAACTTGAGCTCTGCAGGACGTGGAAGTTGGGCAACTGGAACCGGTATGCTTGAGGTGCGCCTGCTTCTTTATGGAGGACACATTTGTTTGCTTACAATCCCTGGGATCCCTGAGATGTGAGGCTTAAAGTGCGCACTGCTTCACTGCTGCTTGCCTTCTATTGTAGCAAAAAAGAGGCTCTTGAACATCTCAATGTCCCCTGCTTCTCAATTCTCAGCTTTGCTCGATTTCCCTCCCAGCTTCTCTCCCTCCCTCTCTCTCCTCTGTGGGCCAACATCACAAAATCGCAAGTTCTTGCGGTTCAAAGTCTGAGGAGGTACTTAAAACGTTTGTGATGGCAACGGGGTCACAGTCTTTTTCTCCACAAACAACGGCAACAGCTACAACACCAAACAACAAACAAAGGTAGGAAGTTGAGGAAGAGTAGTAGCAGTAGCATTATTGTCATTGTCATTATATATTGCCACTGCTAGTAGTAGCAGTAGCAGTAGCAGTAGTAGCAATAGTAGCAGTAGTAGCAGTGGTGGTGGTGGTGGTGGTCGTCGTCGTCGTCGTCGTCGTCGTCGTCGTCGTAGGAGCAGCAGAAGCAGCCGGAACATGTAGGAACCTTTAAACGATCCTGTTAGCTAGTTTTAATTTGGCTGAGATGTAGTTTTATGCTTTTAGACACGGAAAACCGGGGTTCAGAGGGGGGAACTATTGGGTTTTGTGATGGTTGCACGGCGGATGAGAGTCTGAAGTGCTTTTGCGTAGACAACCTTGTGAAAGCGACAATCATTTTGTTAAAATGGAACTAAGAACGCATGTCCCGGCCCCACACCACCCGCACCCACCCACCCAATCCAGTCTTGCCCAAACTTCTATCAGATTTTCTTTCGGATTTGCGACAGTTGCGGTGCGAAACAATAGATCGTCAGATAGTCCAAGTGTATGCCTAGGTGGTCTATCTTCTCATTTGGAGACTGGGGAATTTGCCCTGGTATCGGTGCTCCTGCGGCGGGCGTGAATTTCCGATCTCCGAATGGTCTCCGGGTATGCTCTTGATGGTCTCGGTGCAGGGTTGGTGTTGCCTCGCTCGTGCTGACTTACAGTAATAACTGGTTGCAGGAAAGGGCCGCGGTGTTATTGTGCCAGTCACACCAGTGCTACCTGAGTCGATTCCTGTTTCGTTTGCTGACTGACCTATGATGATTGATCGACACAACTGGCATCATCCCGCTGATGATTGATTTGAACCTGTTGCCAGGTCGCTCTTGCAATGCCCGGCTAAAGCTGGAGCTTGGTCATGTGAGCTGCAGGCCAGGTCATATGGTTGGCCGCCGTGTTTCATGTCAACGTGCCGAGTGTCTACTGTTCGCAAGGTACTCAATCTATCTCAATCTCCACTTCCGAGGACGTTCCATCTCCCCTTCCTCTGCTGATAGCTTCTGAGTGAAACATCGAAAGTGCTACTCCCGGCCGCCCGTTCCAACGGAGAATCGAGGTTTTGCTTTGGACTCTGGACCTTGTGAACCTATCAGATCTTCAGCAATCCCCAAATTAGCTCATTAAAAACACAATCCCCATCACATCTCATCTCTTGTGGTTGCAATCATACGGCTCTGCGTTTATCGTTCTTTCATCCTTGTTCACTCCTGGTGATCCAGCGTGCAACAGCGTGGTGTGGCCACATATAGCTACTATTTGTTCTTTTGCCTCCAGTGTGGTGGGCTGCTAGGTGAGAACTTCTTGTTGGAGCGGCTCTGACCGGGTTGGGCTGGGCGGCTGCTGACAGAGGGGAACCAAAGGGGGGGCAAGCTGCGATAATGCCAATCGACGTCTTTAATGGGAGTGCACGTGCTCTGCTGTAAAGCGTGAACTCCTCGGCATTCTTGCAAGGCTTCTTTTCGGGCGCTCTTTTGGACGTCTTGGCTCGTTGATCGCGTTTTTTTGGCCCATTTAGGAGCTGCCAGTTTGCTACCGATGGAGATTCAACACTGCAAGGTGCGCCACACTCGTTGGTGCTCCTTTGTGAGCTAACAGCTAACACTCATTGGTGGTCCGTGTGGCCACAAGCGGACAGAAAGCTGGCCGGCCGCTTGGGGACTTGGTACCACTGGAACCGCAACTGCGTACGCATTCGGAATAGCTTCGTACGACGTGACCGACCGTATCGGGATGCTTCGTTTGGAACCGCATGGCCCTGGCGCCCCTCGAAGGTCCACTGGCTCGCCAGGTGAGAAGCTGTTGCAAAGGACGGTGGCCAATGTGAGACCGAGACCACTGAGGACCTACAACTGAGGACCGCGAGGCAGGAGGTGGTGCCAGAAAGCTCGCTGGAGAGGAGAACGACACAACTGGGCCAGAACTGGGCCATGAGACAGTTGAAACCTAAGACGACCCAGGGGCGAGCACTGTAGGTATCAATTTCAGTTCAATGTGACACATACTGTATATTATAGATGCAATATGATGCAATACTGTATCAGCGGCATGAGGCACTTGCTATTTCAGGCAATCACAGTCCTGAAAGTTGGTTTGCTCCACTGAGACAAAATATCTTGCACCTTGGAGTACATTTATACATTCAGCAATGTACTGCACCAACAGAAAGCACCTACGGTATTCCCAAACATTTTTTTTAGATTGGCACAAAGCAGTTTGTGTTGAGTGCAAGTGTTTGGCATGGTTCGCCGCAAGTAGCATTGAGGCACGTGAGTGCTTTTAGTGAAGTGTCTCCAGCTTACTTCTGCTGTAATCCTTTCCATAGTCATGCGTGGTCTTCTGTCCTGCTGCCTTCTTGCTTAATCAAGGCTATTTATATATTCGGTCAGATGTTGTGGTTCATGTTCGCCTGTTGTGCCGGAACTTTCTGAAGATGCCCTGAATACCAATTCCCCTCAACGAGGCTTCTGTGCGTTGGCTCTCTTAGGATTTGGGCGGCGAAAGATAGATAATTGAACAAGTACGTGAGAGAATCCCATATATAATTTCAGGCCAACTTGTTTCATTCAAGTGGTTTGTTGATTTCAAGAGTCCCCGTGTTTTGACTGAGCAGGTCGGTACTGATCGAGGCTCGGTGCTGCGGGGATTTTTTGTTTTGAATGACTTTTTTTTTGAATGTTTTGGATCATCAACTTTGCAAACATTGGAGGCCTAATGGGCTGGCTTTTACCCTCCGGCCCCTCACGTTTCGCAGTGACCTTGAGTGGGTTCACGTTGCTTTTCCAACAAGCAAAGCAAAGTGAGGCAACCGTTGATATGGACATTTCGCTGACGGTTTGCGGGCTGCAACAAGGCTTGTGAGTTGTATATTAGCTGAAGAGGTGAAGACAGGCGTAGTTGCATTTGGCAGGCAAAGACCTACCTTGAAGAATGTGAATTTCTTGGACACTTCTCAGGCAGTGCAGGCGCAATCTTGAGTGTTTCTCGTTCGTGGTTTGGGAAGTGTTTCAATTGCTGCATTGTTTTGAAGAGACAAAGGTGGAACATAGATCAAAAACTGAATCTACTAGTTTGTATGTTTGTTGGCCTTTTCTATTGGAATCTGACATGGAACGGAGGCTGTGAACGGAAGGCAAGTTGACCTGAATTTGAAGGACTTTCTTCGTTGGTTTTTTTGTGATTACTTATACTACCACAGTTGACGTAACAGTGATACATGGTAGAGCATGATGCAGGAGTTCTACACCTGATTGAGGATCTCCTGCATTATCGCATGAGGTCGAACTTTGCTACCACAGTGAAGGTGCGCAGGGCACGCATGAAGTTTTACAGCATTTGTGGTCTTTCGTGATGCGCCTCAGGACCCGTGCTGCGATGCGAGCACGATTTACGATGCTGAAGAACCTGTAGCTGCTGAAGAACATGCACATGCCGACTTGTGCCCAGCGAGCGCATGGAACATGAGCCGGCCATCAAAACACAGCCGGCCAGCTGAAGAAGCGACCAGAGGTGTGTAGTGATTGGTGATTTTCAGCCACCGGAAGCATGCCAGACACGGCAATGCAATGAAAAAGCAGCAGCGCCTTGGGACTGCAAAGAGACGAAGTACACAGAGCACGGGGACTTGGCAATTCAACCAGAGACAACACTCTTTCCAATTAACAACTATTTCAGAACACTTTCATGGCTTCAAGAAAGGTGTTTTCGAGCTCTTTGTTTCTTCCCTCGCAGGCCCTTGTTATTGCTCGCAGATGCATCATAAGCCTGGGTGAAGAGCCTTGCCGGCGCAGGTTCGATCCAGACTCGTCGGGCTTGACCGACGGCTTCTTTGAGCAGATTGGTGATGTGTAATCCAATTTAATTCTAATTATTGTTTCTACTAGCTTCTTGTTACTACTAGTAAGGCACTTGTTTCTACTAGTAAGGCACTTGTTCCATAGGTTGCGAATGGAACTCTTGTTCCATGGAAGGCCTGGCGTCCATGGCACAGAGAATTCCATCCTTCGTCCCGCCGTCAGAGACTGAGGATGACCATCTTCGGCCCGCGTCGAACTGTGGCAAGACGTTTTGCCAAAACGGATTTTCCATCGGTGTTTTGAGCAAGGGATGAACCCAGATTTTTTCAATCAGTCAGCAAACAACGTTGTTTCCATCCCTTGCTTTGACGAGACCGTGGCAGACCATCCCGCGGATTTGTGAGGCTCCTGCGAGATCCAAACGCACTCCAGTTGTAGGAACCCAAACGCAGCAAGAGAGGAAAGCAAGGGAAAGGTACCTCAAAGGTACCTGAGTAGGTCTCAGGACTGGGTTACTCGCAGTCAGGGTCGACGCGAGAATCGGCACCGAATTGGTGCCTTTTGCATGCGTTGGTGCACCACAGCCACCGCCCCGAGAATCAGCACGGGTCTGAGCAAATGCTCGCAAGAACGAGCGACACCAATCGCGATTGCTGCAGCTCACCATGGAGCCGATCCGCACAGCTTAGCCAACTCTGATAACTGCAAAGCGCACGAATGTGCCGCAAACAGGTAGTAGATGATCACTGAGCTGAACTGGCTGATCTTTCGACCAAGTTTGAGTGGCTCACCTTGAAACAGCCAGCGCTTGGTGGACGTTGATGGTGAGAATGCATGCTTTCAATGATTCATTGCCCCGAAACTTCTGCCTGTCTGTTGGCTTGTAAGGACGAAGGGCAGACACGCAGAAACACCGTATGAAGGGCAGACTCAACTGGAGCAACTTTGACAGCTAAGGCCAGCAGCGCAGCAGCCGCAGGTGGCAGCAAGCCTAAGCAGACCTAGCAGAAAGTGAGCTGTTCAAAGAGTTGTTGTCGGCTTGATGCATTGGAAGCTGAGGCTTGGCAGCCAAGCCCTGGCTTACCTAGCCCCGAGGTGTTTTGTGACAGGACTAAGCTCAAATTGTGTTAGGAACTATGAAACTGCCAGGTAATTCAGAAGCAGAAAGAAGGGTACATTAGGCGTGGCCTGCTGTCTCTCTTTTTCTGTGACCCACACCCACACTTTCTTGCCCTTGTACCTTTGTAGTCTTGTATTCATTGCTCGAGGCTTTTGGACGAGCAACTGAAGCAGGGGCAGGTGCGTGCAGAACAAAACTTTGGTTTGCAATGACTCATGACTCATGACTATATTATATATACATGCATATCCATCAGTAAGCAGCTGCCAGAACACGCTGGATCAGCAGAGAAAACAGCAATCTGAGTACTTGCACACACAAGCTGGCATCTCAGAGATTTTTTTCTTCCCGAATGAAATAAAAACCGGAGAGTTGGGATGGCCTCTCTTTCCCAAGGCTCAACAGCAGAAGCAACAAGTTGAGATGCAAATCAAACAACAGGTGCCATATTTGTTGTTTTACTGTAACATTTACTTTTATGTTTTGTTTGCTTTCAGCGAAAGAATGTATGTTGTATAGCACTATATATATATAAATGTTATGTGGCACACGTTTATCAAGCTGCATGTCCTTCAAAGGTGCAGCAGCAAGAGATGCAGTTGCTCCAGCAGTACAATCAGTCTTTAATGCAGGCACGTTGTGCGGCGCAATACAAGCAAGTAGTCAAGAGCATAGAGATCTAGAGGCGTTTGACCATGTGAACATCTTCAGGTGCAGCAGGCATCTGCGCAGCAGAAGGCTGCACTTGAGTCACAGGCCAGCCCGCGATGAGATGTTGAGATGGTTTCTATGTCTCACGTCATGACACGGCAGGCCTGCAATGTATGCAAGTGAATTAAACAAAATTATTCTCAAAGATGTTTTCAAGGCCATCCCAAAGACTTCTCAGCTGAAGAGTTGACTTTACTATACAATTTATCACGTTCCTTCTGAATGACATCAAAGTGAGAACAATGGCGGCACAGTGTTCGAATGTTTGAATGACATCCAACACATATTCTCAAAGGGACTGTGCAAGGGCACCTATCTATCTATCTATCTACCTATCTATCTATCTACCTATCTATCTATCTATCCATCTATCTATCTATCTATCTATATTAACTTGAAACGGATAATCAAAAAGATGTCAAAGGGGGAATTGACTTCAAGAACTAGTTGTAGAGTCGTTTTTGAAAGAATATCTTGAAAGGATTCCACAAGGTTAGCTACATGAATTGGACACATTTTATTGTCAACAGGACGTTTAAGTGCTATCCAACTTGAAATTCACTGTCAGAACAAGTTGAAAGGACACCTAGTTGCTGTAAGAGGTGTAAGTAATTACAGATTCTCCAAACAGTGCTTAAGCATGAAGTCCGCAGCACGCACTTTGCAAGCACCCTTTGCCTGAACTTTTTCACCACTGCAGCGACCCTGACGATCGAAGAAGATGCCCCAAACCACGATCGAACGAGTACACCAAGGAGATGGAAGTCGCCCCCCTTTTCTTTTTGAGAAAGTCTGAATGGCCGAGTGAGAGGAGCGGGGACCTTGAGAGTTGCCCCATTGTCTTGAGTGCTGCCTTTTCCATTGTCGTTTTGATTTTGGCACTTTCAACCTCCAATTTTCAGTGAGACAGGGGGTCACCACTGCTGAAAACACCTGCCACAAACAACTTTGAAGCTCGCAGTTCATGAACTTTCAAGATGTATGGTCTGGACAGACGTTCATGGATCGCTGCGCTTGACACGGAATCTGAGTCCTCATGTCACCAGCCCCGCATCGAAACTACTGCTAGGAAAACAGGTCTCAGGTACTCCGCACTAGGACAAGACATAAGAAAGCCCGTGCCCTTTGCCACGGAAACGAACTCCAAGTTACCATGCCCATGGCACCCCAGAGCGACATGTGGTGATGGCCGAGCGGTCTTTTAAACTTCGATTTACAAACATGTCCTTTTGCAGAACTTCCTTCTGACATTCGATTCAACCGCCCGACATCAATGCCACTGGCATAGACCTCCTCCGCAGGGCTCCCGCATATAGTTCTTAGAGGCTGATTCAGGCCTTCTTTCCGTATATGTCCAAGCTGATGTTCTTTGGTTGAAGGGGGATCCTGCTGAAAGTCAATTCTTTAGAGTCAACTTAACATTCAACTCTTTTAGAACTAGACGTCATTCACAAGCACGTTCAAAAGTCAAAAGAGTTCCAGAGAAATCCAAAACCCTATCTTTCGGGACACCAGCTCTCTACTAGAGTTTTGTTAATACCCTTTTTGAGAATTAATCTTTCAACTACAGATATTTTGTTTGTTATTCTCAGGATCATGCTCAGCATGAATCTAGTTTCTTGTTGCAACATATTCAAGATCAAAGATTCAGTTGCAAGTTGCATTTTATGTCAATTTCCAACATTTGTGTCTAGAAACTATCAATTAGACATTGATATCGATTGATGCCCACCACCATTTGTTTGAACTTCCATTTGTAGAATCCTTGTGAAAATGGATCTTCGATGAGATCTCCTGTGGAGCAAAAAGAGACCTGCCCTCCTCATGATGGACCTTTCTGAAAGCGTCAGGCCATGCAGCTGGTGATGGAATACCAGCAGAAGCGGTGTGGATGACAGAGTGGATGAGCAAACGGACAGCAGAGGACTTTACACTTTACATCAAAGACTTGGACATCTGCCCTGTTTTGAGTCGATCAGGCACATCGACTGTAGATGATCAATGATCATGGGTTTTCCTACCTTTTCCTTGTCGACAGTAGGTGTTAGTATCCGCAAGCTTGCGCGATGCAGCCACGCTTTTGGAATGAATCGGTGGCAATCGTCGCGTAAGCTTTGAGGTGTCGGTCAGCGTTGCAGCGTTTCACCATTTTCAGCAGGGAGCATGAGACCAGCAACGCTGCAAAAGCTCAGTGATCCTTGCCGAAGTGTTGGCGGATCTGAAGCAAGTCATGGAACCCAACGATGCCGCTCAATATACATATTATATATACACACGCATGCTTCTGTGTAACGTTCCCTGATGAAGTGTTTCCATGTAACTCGTCTCAGTTGTATATTTAATTCAACGCTGCAAGCCCACAAACTCTTTTGGCGCAGAACTTTTGTTTTTTCTGCTAAATATCGGAAAGCTATATAATATTGAAATGTCAACTACTAGATATAATATTGAAATGTCAACTACTAGACCAGCTATGAGACCAACGGGCTGCGTTGTGAGTCATGAGGTAGCTAATTGCAAGCTACTCACGTGTTGCACACACCAGATGAACTACCAGATGATGGAGCTCCTGTTAACCTGGTGAGTGATGTGTGCTTTAGACCGCTGCGTCCCAACTCTAAAGATTCGCACCGCTAGTCATTGGCCTGTCGTCACGATGAAATCCCGGCACAATTCATAAGTGTACTTTCTGAAGTATCGCCGTAGATTGAGTGAGACACAAGCATGCGGTTCTGGTAAGGTCTCAGGAAGAGATGCTGGCAAAGCAGCAGCAGTTGCAGCGGGGTCACATTGAGGTGTGACGGCCGTTCATACTGTTTAGAGTTTCATACCAGTTGCCGATTTTGCTGGCAGGCGCAAATGAAATTTGCCGCTGAGATGCAGAAGCTGCAAGCAGGGTCCTCGAATGTTTGTTGACACTGCCCAAAGTGTTCGACTCTCGACATTGCGAGAAGATTTTCTTTTGCAGTTAGCTCCGCGGTTGCGGATGTCAAGGTCACAGCACCTCAAGGTGGAAGCCCGGTCTCGCAGCACCTTGGATGTCACGGCACAGCATCGTTCCGGGGGTTTTGGAGTGACTTCATGATTGTTTGCCGTGCGCAGCCAGTGGGCCTGAGGTACGGATCCGGCCAATTTTAGTGGAGGCTACGAAGGCTAAGGCTCAGCTGGAATAGTACATAATTAATGGAAGTGGAAAACCACCTGTTTGTTTAGGAAAATGGTCATTCAAAGGGCCATTTCCACTTCCATGATTGTTCCAGAAGATGTATTGAATTGTATACGTTGTGTGATTGCCATGTTCCGTTGAGGAGCCAAAGTTCCGTGAGCGCGAGGGCAACGGGCTGATGTTGTTTCACTTTGGGCCCACTCTAGAGTGGTTGGTACAGTATGGGCATTAAAGGCATGCCAACGACCCTAATTTATGTCGAAAGAAGTCTGGACTTTGTCGCTTTGGAACATGTTCAGTGATGTCCAGAAAGGCAGAAACAGGTTTGTGTGTCACTGTCACGAACGACGCCAACTCCTGGCTCAAACAGCACGAGATCAAGCACGTGAGCCGAATAATTGGTGGTTGTTTTGAAGACAGTTCCGTTCCAAGAGCACTCCGATCACGAACATTTTCTTGGAGAATCAAGCAGTTACATGGGCTTCGATGATGGGGCAAGTGGATGAGGAATGACGGCAATCTGTACGTCGCAAATGGAGTGGAGGCCGGCTTGGAAAGACCAGAGTCTTTGCGTGACATGTACTTTGCTGTCTTCTCGGATGCAAGACCTCTACATGGTGCTTTCCTCACAGAGATGTTTGTCTACTGAGTTTATTGCAAGCAACGCGCATAGTCGGGGGGGCGGATGGGTGGGACGTTAACGTTCACACCTATTGCACAGTACGCTTCATATACCCTTCATACCTCTGGCTTACCCCTGGTGGGCTTCTATGCTGGGCTTCCTACTTCGGTTGGGGTGGGGTGGGATGGATGGAATGTCAACGTCTCGAAGTGGTGATGCAGTACATGTGGCGCAGATTCCTTGGGCCATGCATGCCAAACGAACTGTTGGCTGAGCTTTCCAAGGTGGCAATGTAGAATTGCTGAACGAGTAAATAATGGGGCAAAAAGGGTTGGGAACCTTGTAGTTGTACCAAAGTCTTAGGTATTTTTTTTGTTCTATTTTGTCTGCACTTTCAGAATGTACCATGATGTACTCAAAGTCAAAATCAAGGACTTGCACGTAGCTGAGATGCGGTCCAAACGAACATGCAAAGAAATGCCACCTACACCTCTTGAGGCCATTGTGAAATGGTTTGATCCTCGCCGATCTTATGGTTTTTGCAGCATCACAGGGGATCTACAGGACAAAGTGCCATGGCATTGGTGATTTGCTGACCCAATGCTTTCCTTGCGACGCATTAATTTCTCTTCAGTGCTTGGGATAAGGTGCCTGAGGTGTTTTTTGGAGAGCAAGAGGCGAAGGCCGCAAGTCAAGCTGTATGCGAAGCATGAGGAGAATGACCGGAACATCACATATCACTTCTATATAACATCTTCTAACAGTTGTACAAAGAACAAAGAGAGGGAACACACTTTTTGTTTGGTTCATATCATTTCTGTAGCATCACTGAACTTCTTCTCGCGTCAAAGCCTGGAGGCCGCAAGGCAGCGTGGATTGACCTTGTCACGCGGCGAGCATCTCCTTTGCGATGTTGTCCAGTCCGAGGCACCGCTTTGGAACTGTTTCAACGGACGTGATTCAGCGGAAGGTGTTTCAACGAGTGCCATGTTCTACGCGGTCGGGTGACATTGTTCTTGGTCCACACTTTAGCTCGGACAATTTTCAGCGAAGCAGCTTCAGGATGCTCAAAGTCAACGCTTCTTTGCGGTAATGCTGCGGCCCAGCGGAGGATGCCTTATAGATTTGAGAAGCTTTTGCAGACATGTCGGGTGTGTAGTAGAATGGGGAGACCCCCAAACAACTCACCTGAAAAGACAAATGGAGTGAAACCCAGAGGTCGGAGGGTCTACCTGCTGTTTTTCTACATTCTACATACCCATATACCGCTTTTGAGTTTCGTTCAGGTCCGAGATGTGTTTGCGATCGTGTTTCTTTTTCTTTTATATTCAGGAGCTGTTGCAAGTGATGATCCCAGGCAGGAGGCACTGAGAAACGAGCACCATGAAGGATCTCCATGAGCACTTCCTAAGTCTTCTGTTTGTTTCATTCATCCTTGGCAGGCCGAGCGGGTCTTGGTGTCTTTGACGGCTGAAATGGAGAGAGTTGTGTGCGCTTGCTGCAGCATTGAGCCACCGAGCTTGTGTTGGGTCACAGTGAGTTCACCACCAGGCCTGCTTTGGGCTCACCGCACACATTTGCTGCTGGTTCCGAACACTTCTGCCAGCCTGGATCTCAGATCTTGCGAACTCTCAGGGACCAAGATTTGAAGAAACGCTCAGGTTGGTGGAAGATGCTTGGAGCCAGGTTGGAGCTGATCGGAAGACTTTGGAGGAATGGTGGTGCACATGCAGGGGTGCAGGGGGTCCAATTCGGCACATGTAATAGACATACATGCATGACATACTGACATACTTTATCTATATATCTGCCAGGAGTTTTTCCAAAAAGTTTGCTTCAAAGGAGTCGAGGCCAGGAGAGCAGCCGCATTCTTCAGAGCAGCTGCATTCTACTTGATCTGACAGGTCTTTGCTCGTCAAACCCTTCTATCACCAGCCTTAGATGAATGTGTTTCGGAGAAGATGTCTGCTTGGTTACGCCGGCTGGAAAGAGCTCCATGGTTCCCCAGCTGGATGGTTCCTCATCGTGACAACAGCCGTAGACTGCCACATTTGCCCAACAAGATATGCTTCCAGAAGGAATGCTGTCGAGAATTATGTCTATAATCCTCCTTCTCCAAGACATCAAAAAGGAATGGGCCATCATGCTGAATAAGCCTCATAGCGGTTTTGGGATCCTTGTATTGTATTTGTTCTGCTATATACATGATCTTGGGAGCGGTGAAGGAGACACATGCTCTATTTTTTTGGTCTTCCGTGACCCCGGACCATTCGTAAGGTAGACCATGCACGTTGGATGATTTAGCTTAGGTTTCCAGAAGCCCTCTGCAAACTGTGGGACGCACGGGTTTCAAGAGAGTTCCTTGCACGTTATCAATGGGACATGCACACACACACAATTTACAACGTGGGACACCTTGCTGTTGCTTGCAAAGTCCAAGACCATTCTCCCCAGAACGAGCAAGACGACCTAAGGTGCTGGTCCCCCCCAGCAGCGACGTGCGCTGGGTGAGATGTCCGAACTTGCTGCGCAACTGCACGGTGGAGGTAGCCAGCCTGAAGTGTCCGAGAGGACTGCGTGACCTTCAGTTTCATAATGAGAACGGGAAGGGCAGGGTAGCGTTTCCCATGGTTTCCCTGACAGACGTGCCCTGCCGATTGATTGGTCCTTGTTTGGAAATGCTGTGCCGGAAGGCTGGCTGCAGGTGGGTTCGAACACCTGTGATTCTGTTTGGTGATGCTCCCCGACGTGAAATTGGTTTGGCTGCAAGCTGGACCGAAGTGTTTGATACCCTACACAATCGGTCTGAGGTTGGAGGTCATCCCTCTTCATCGCTTTAGGGTCGAGGCTATCGGTAGTAGGGTGAGCACATCTGGATTCAGCGTTCAACATGTCAACAAAACAGAACATTCAGGAGTCGATCGTAAGAGACTCCAGGTGCACAGGCCCATCTCCTCTACAGTTTTTTATCGCTCTTCACCCCAATTGCTACCTTTTGCCACCCTCTTCTCTCAAGTATGGTTGACGCAGCCCCGAAACTCAAGCAGGTAGCTCACGAGGGGGGCAGGAAGAGCGAAGCGTGATTGAAAGCACTAATGATTTGGTTCCTAGTAGCGTCCTTGTTCCTAGTAGTAAGGCCAGGAGCCCCTGGTAGCGTCTTTGCTCCTAGTAGCGATGCCAGGGGCCCCTAGTAGCGTCCTAGTAGCCCCTAGAAAGCTGCACATCATGGGGGATCGATGGAACAGAGGCTGCGCAGAGGCTGCGCTGCCGATGTGCCGTTCTCTCGTCCTTCCGGAACCGGAGGATAGCCTCAGTGCTTCAATGCCGGACCGAGAGGTTCGTTGCTCCTCAGACTGCAACTGAGCCTCAAAACAACCCTCAAACTGCCACCGATGCCGCTGAGGTGGTGTTGGAGGCCGCCACCCATGAGTTGCGTGTCATCGGGTTGAGCTGTGTGATTTACCAACATTCTGGGCAAGTTTTGCCAACAGAGACTGGCGGTTGTGATTGCTCCTCATTCCTGTGGCTGGCCAAATCTCAAGCTCTCTTGGAAGGATCTGACCTTAAGACTTGTGTTGTATACAACTCTTGTCAAGATTTTATGATGTTTCTTTTTGGACATAGGGTTCTGTTTGGCCAACCAACCTTTCGGCTCAAGCACGTATGAGGGTCAAGACTTGATTCTCGTGAGGCCTGGCATTGAGTGCATTGGCTTTCTGGCTTGTGTTGCAAGTGCCCATGTCATCGTTTTCTGTACAAGAAGCCTTACCCTCAACAGCCGCCGTCTCCTTCTTGGGCTAGAGCCAGACCGTGAAGGTAGAAAAAGCATTTGCCAGTACTCTTTAGTCTTAGTCTCTTTGTGCCCTTGTCTCATTGCTCAACAAAATCTGCAGTCTATCCTGTAATATGATGTTTGCGAGAGCAGAGGCTCCCCTGTTCAGGTTGCCGTTTGGCCGTAAGACCGCTGAAGAAACGACTGATTTCATACTGATGTGATGCAGCGCTCTGTATCAAGACATTCTTCCATTGGCCCGTTTGCTTCCGCAACGGAGCTGAACGTTGCAGGCCCGAATGGCGGCAGCTAGCAAGGCCCTGCGGAATGCTCCTTGCTCGGAAAGAGAAAGCTGAATCAGAATCTACTTTACATTGCTGCACTCCTTCCTAAGGTGGTTGGCAGCCTTCAACTTAGGCCTGCTCAAACCTGTTTTGCCAAGGTCAAGCCCTGAGTCACTGAGGGCACAGGACTTGTGTGTTGCCATCATATTTGCTCCAGCGAAAAGTGGGGCAACGTCTTCATGCTAACCTGATCAAGGACACGCATCACTATGGAAACTGAAAGCTACAGGGAAGAACAGTCCGAGGAAAGTTGACGTACACCTAGCGTCCGAGTGGCGGCCAAACTGCCGACGAGGGATGATCCACCCTTGCCACCAGCGCTTCTGGCACGACACGCCTGTGTCCACTACCGACTTTCACGTAAAGACGTTGAAGATGAAAAGAAAGCTTAGTGTCCCATGTAGTTCACACAAAGTATTTGGGAGCGGAAGTGGTGCCTGAATTTCTTCAATTGGAACTTGAAGCTAGCATGTCAGAGTGTGTTTGTATTGGTGCTTGGGACCTGCTCGAGCAAAAATAACATTCGCAGGTCAGTAAGGATGTCAGAAGGAAAATGACACGAAGGACCTCCAGAATCATCCAAGTCAGAAGCTAGGCTCTTGGCAACAAATCGGCAAAGAGCACGGATCCTAGGAGGTCAGAACCTGGCATCAAAGCTTTGGTCAGACTGTGCAGTTGACCCCAGAGAACCAACATAGTTAAGGAAACCTGAAGAACAGCCAGACATGAAAACACGAACAAAAGGGATTCTTCGGGAGGCTGCCCATCCCACTCCGGCACGTGTACGTATTCGGAGTGCTAACCACAGTGAGGCTCAAAGAATGGACAGTGGAGTTTGGCCCTTGTTGCCAAGTTTGGACGTAAAGGTCGAGTCTCATAACAAATCAAGATTGCACACTTCTCATTGCAGACCAGTTGCTGGGACATTGTAATGTTTTTTTCCTCCCACCCACAGACCGCCATGGTTTGTCCAAAGCAATTGAATTTGCCATAAGCATTACTAGCCCACTTGCCCATAGCCAATTCTCTTTTCAAGAGAGAGCACAGGATATTGACCAAAAGAGAGAAGGGAACCAGAGAAGGAAGAAAGGGGATCAATCACGTCTAAGATCTTACCCACATGTAGCCGTAGAGCACACAAAAGATGCATCAATGAAGAAAACTGCGCCATAATGCGCCGCTGGTGCAGGGGAGGTCAGCACGTTTGTGGCTCCAGAAAAAGAACATACGGATGACGTTGATCGACTTTGTTCGTTCTTTTGAAGCTTCAACAAAGACAAAGAGCACTTGAGATCGAAGAGCGGTACCCTTCAACAACCAAGCGGGCAGACGGCACACCGGTGAACTATTCTCAGGCAGGGGATAGATCCAACAGTCTAAGGAAAACGTGTGCGCGTGTGTGTATGCATACGTGCTGAATGCTACGTTTTGAACTTGCTTTATATAGACTTTTTTGGTAATCGTTGCAGTTGGGCGTTTCGCCCCAGAAATCAAAAGCAATTGAAGGTGCAACCATGTCTGTGCTCATGAATACCATGCGGCTAGCCGCATTTTGGTTGACGAAACGGGGCGATTTCAGGCCCTTGGGCCCACGGATCCACCATTCAGATCCATTCAGACCCACTGTTGATGCTTTGACCGGGTATTTCACCAACCTGAGGCATCAGAGGCCCAAGCTGGTGGTTCTGTCCTCAGTGCCCAACGGACTGGGCCGTGACGACCCCTGGAGACTTCATGCGACGTGAGGTGTGCGAAGTTGGAGACTCGGTCTACAGGCGTCAGACTCCGTGACACCTCACCACCGTTCTTTTGGCTGATCCTTTTTTGGGTTTGGATCCCGTTGGATTCCGCTAGTTCAGTCCTGTTGGTCTTGTGTTTTTGTTGTTTGTGTTTTTCAGCATTCTTGTTCCTTTTGGACAACTTCCGGCAGAGGCACGTTGCTTAAGCACATCAGGCCAGGATTCGTCTCGTGGGGGAGAGGATAGGAATCCGTGAGAGTCATTTTAGAGGCATCTGACATCGATGCAAACATGTACATGCACATGGCAGCTTGATCAGCCTCTGACAGTTTCTTCCAGACTTGTGGCACTGGTTGGTGGTGGAAGGTTACATGCACATGGGTTCGGTTACAGCACTTCATCGCCGCTTTTGACTCGGGGAACCCCGCACGATTGACGTAGACGCAAGCGCACCATTGCTTTCTTGAATCCTCGTCCCCAAGACGCAGGGGCTGTGTAGCCAGTTTGTGAACAACGTAGAGACACTGAAGTGTTGTGCTTTTTGTTCTTAGTCGCTTGCGCCTTAGGCCTTGTGCTTTGGGATTGGGTTTCGCTTTCTGTTCGATCGTGGTCTGCTTGAGACCCAAAGACCCGTCATTCATCGGCTCCCCGGCCACTTGCGTAGACTGCTGCTGTTTGGACCGCTCCAAGTTGCACATGGTGGAGAGTGGCAGACGCAGCTCCAGTTATGTGTGCCGACTCGGCTGTGCAGTCTGCAGAACAGTTCCCAATGCTACCTGCTTCCCATGGCATGGATTGTAACACACAATCAGTAAAGAGGCATAGGAACACTGTGCAGGAACTTATGAAGGCGCACCCCCCCCAGGCCCGACCTTGGCCACTTGCTAGTGCTCTTGGAACCCATGATGCAAGGGATTGTTAAAATATGACTTGCATTACCGACATCCCATTTCCTTCATCGTTCTTAGCAACTTTTTCAAGAACGTACTGACCCGCGTGGGCGAACAAGTAGGCCGATTCGATCGCTTTTTGTCGCGTTTTCCAGGTTCAATCAGCAGTGCCACTAGTAAACCTTAAAACCTTTAGCTTACCCAAGAACCTAGAACCATAGCGATCTTTTGTCGTCATTTTTTGTTGCCGCAACGAGCGCTTTTGACCGGTGCCAGGCCTCACGGGTCTAAGAGCCACCTTTGCGCGCCTGGCAGCGGAACGACTCGGTTCACCTCCAGAGGCCCCGGGCGCGGCGCGGCTCGGGCGCGGCGCGGCGCAACGGGTGGACGGCGCTCGCCAGGCTGCGGCTCCCAAAGCAGCTGCACCCGCCGGCTCCGCACCAGCAGCCGTCAGTGTCGCGGAGGCGCGTGCCACGGTGTGAGTGTGCAATCTCGATGTTGTTAAAGCCATCTTCAACCTAGAGGCAGAGGGGCATGTATTTTTGATTATTTTTGTATGTGCATACAATATAACCTGGAACAAGGAAGAGTGACCTCCTGTGCAGTGTTTAGTGCCCAGCTGTGTAGTCGGATGATGCATTGTGCGTTTCTCATGCATTTAGGAAAGTAGACGAAAGGAAGGTAGATGAAACGAAAGCGAAGGACCGCTGCAGGTGTGACATGAACCTTGGCCGGATGGAGGGCAGTTCCCTTGATGCTTCTTGCATTGGATGACTGTACCACTTTGATCTTCTCAAGCAGGTTTCCCATCACAACAAGCAGGTTACGAGTATAGCAGACTTGGAAACCCAAGATAACGCTAGCTGCTAGCGTTTTCAGTTGCGAAGCATGTGGGTTGTCAGGGCATGATTGGCCCCACAATACCATCGAAACAGCTGATTCTATCCAGTATGTTGCTGGAGACAGGCTTTCTGAGTGACCGGAAGATGGTGCTAAAGATGTGGACCAATAATACTCCAGTTGTTCTGCAATAGGCATCAGAGCCAGCTTCTTCTGTTTGCCAGGGCTGCATTGAACGACGCGTGCCTGTGTCCTTTGTGCGGCAGCGTGTCATGAAAAGGCTCAAGGCACGCTACACTGCATTTGATACGTCGACAGTTTGATGCATCCTTTTGTTTAATTTTCTCTTCCTGCCTTCATCCACAACTTTGCACATGGTATGATTTGATAGGAATTTGTTCATGTGTAATGTAGTATATGTATACATGATATATAATATAGACATATGCCCATGGACCTGCAGACTTGCTGTCGGAATCCATTCAAGTTACCTACTTTAATAAAGGGGCCCAATCCACGTTTCATGCAGGGCCTTGACATTTCAACTTGGACGTGTTCAGGAGACGCAAAATACTGTGGCTCAGCTTTCTACATTTCAGGTGGGTTGCAACAAGTCAAGCTGGTCATGATTTTCAACCCTGGTATTTTCTTGGGTTGGGAGGAGGTTGACATGACAGCAGCACTGAAGCTCCGAGCGAAGTACAAGGTCCGAGTCACAAGGGTGTGTTGCGCAACACAGTCAAGTTGAATCATGCTTTGCATTTGACAATTTCCGGCAACAACTGCGACCCTTTGGTCAAACCATTCAAACCATTCTGCGACCGGTCAATATCCGCTTCGCATCCAGGACATGTTTCTCAAGTTACATGGGTCGCAGCTGGGCCTTCTGTCACTGATCGCCAAGGCAACAGACTCAGAGACTCTTGCAGACTTACAATTGCGTTGTTTAACTCCTGGCTCCATGTTGTTTTCATTTTGCGGATATGAGATGGACCAAGGCCACCTGTTTGGCCATTGCGGAGGCCAGGGCCACACTCCGTTGGACGTGTTGAATGCTCGTTGCCGCAGGGAGAGTTTGGAAAACGCGGTCTTGAAGGGGGCAAAGTTTGTTACCCTCTCATCTCAAGATTTAAGCACGAGAATGGACACACATATTTTTTGCATTATTTGCAAGTAGTTTTGCAGATGCCATTTGTATTTTTTGGAGGTGCCCGGTGTCAATGCAATCATCGATGACGGGACAAGGGCACAGTTTTGGAACATGAACTGAGCTGTTTTGGTGCCTTCCTTTCAAACAGGGCCACATTGTCTTCAGGACAAAAGAGACAGTTTCACGTGACTATGTCCGGGCCTTGGTGCGAGAGTATGTGTTGGGCCTTCATCCGCATTGTTCACTCTGCAGTGTTCAGTTGCTTCCTTGAGGTTGACATCAGCATCCCCATACCAAGCCCAAGAGGGATCATTGCCTGTACCCTTAAAGATGCGCAAAGCATGACGATCAGAGACCTGGAGCATGAAATAGCTGCGTCAGGGTCCAAGTCTGCAGCTCAAATGCATGATTCTGTTGGATGTGGTGAGCTCTCTTGTTTGTTTCGCTAATTTCTTTGTTTGTTACTAAAGTCTTTCACTGCGAAGAAGCATTGTTCTGTTAGGCTCTCCGATCGGGCTGCCAGGGATGAGCTATCCGTTGCTGACTTGAGCACTTCGACCTTTGGCATTGTGGATACGGGGATCGCTGGTAGCATGTTGGGAACTGGAATTATGTGCGGTGCTTGGCCAGAGATTTTGTCCTTGATACTACTGGTAGTTGATACCTTGATATCCTTGATGTTTTTTTTTTTGTCTTCTGACTGTGCAGAAATTATCCACAGAGCGCTTCCATGGGCTCGAGTCTCAGAGGAAGCGGATTCTAGACACAGACATTGAACTCAAAGACACTAGGTGAAGAGACATTGATTCTAGACATTGAGCGTACGAAGTGCATTGTTTCTCTGCCTTCGAGCCTGCCGTACTTTCAGGTACGAACAGCGTGAAGAGACGCCCTACGGTGGTGGACGGGAAGATAGAAGCCAGACCAATCATGTGCGCCCGACCTCTGAAACCCAGCCAGTGTCCCTCACCGTTGACGGCGTTGACAGGAGTTCCGAAACAAGGAGTTAAAGGAAGCGTCCAGCTTCTTGTGGGGCTTCTTGTGGGTCAGAAGATTCATGTGCATGTCAGTTGCTGCTCGCAGAAGTGCAGGTACACAGCTTTAAACTACGATCACCGCTTGATCGATGGTCGGGAGGCTGTGACATTTCTTTGCTCGGTGCGCGACAAACTGGAGGACTGGGGAGATTTTTTCTATTGTGATGATTTGATACATTTTTCCACAGAAGCATTCTCAGGATCCATCTCGAATGCTGCTGGATCTTTGATTCACTGGATCTCGAATGCTGCACCAAGAAAACGCACATATGAAATTCATCCGGGCAGCAATTCCTGGAGCTGAAGCGAAAGCCCAGCCAATGAAGTTGCTGACGGTCACTACTGCCATCGTTTCAAAAAGACCATCGTTGCTGCTGGTGTGATTTGCTATGACGTTCTCAAGACTTGCTAGTTTCATCGGGGCAATAATTGAGATCAATCATGACTACAAACGCGTGGGTTGAGCGTAATTGGCTTCCGTCTCGCAAAGCCAAGCGTGTTCTCTGCGTGTTCTGTGCGCAGGGCGTTCGAAATTCAGCGAATCAACAGATGATTCTACGAACTTGTGAGGCCTTAGGGGTGCAGGACTGACGAAGTCTTAGTCTTACTCTTTACAGACATGACTGATTGATATATGCTGGTGAGGAAGTATGGCTGGTACCACCGCCTGCTGGAGTCAAGTACCGAGCCACAATGGTTCGTTCGAGACACGCTTCAAGAGGCGCTGAAAGGCTGGGAGCGAAGCACTTGTTGTGATGCCCTCTGAATACCAAGCCTTTTGCTGTCCAAGCCGACTGCTATTGTCTTGAGCACGCTCGACTGCTCCAACTGCTTGTCACGTACTGACTTCACCCGACTTGAGAGGTTTCTGACTTTGCACCGACTTGCCTCCGTCAAGGCGACCCGTTTGTTGGACCAGCAGCTTCGACAGACGTGCCCGTTTGTTTGCGAGTCCTGCAGGAGGTGGCAGAGCGTTGCCAAGCAGAAGGACGTGAGCTGTGGGTGTCATACTGCCCACCCAGGTACAGTTGAGCGGTCTTTGAACGAATGTGAAGTGAGTGAAATGTGACAGATCCTGATACCTTTTGATTCCTTTGAGGCTGGCGGGGCCTTCACCAGGGCCAGAAGCAGTTCCATTGACTGCCGGGCCAGGGCCTCTGCATTCCAAGGGAGGCGCAAGATTTTGCAATAGATTGTGTCTAGCCGCTAGCCACATTCCCTCCGTCGAAGTGAGTTTAGCCATCAGTATATAGATAAACATCATTTTAAATTGGATGACCAGCTGTAGCTGGATAGGACCACATCAAGCAACATGATGTGACAGGTCTGTGTCATCTCCCCTGCCTCGTCTGGCACTGGTGCGGCCAAGTGCTGTCATGTTTTATGGAAACAAACATTTCTTGCCGGCACCGCAATTCCGAAAAAACATGACAACGCATTTGAACATATATATTATGATCAAGAAATTTAACAACCTACCGTAACCTCCTCGCGTGAACACGGTAAAGGTGTTTAGCTGTGCGGATTGCATTTCCATAGTTTTTCCATTCAAAGCAGTTGTGTGCAGTGCTGCATGTATGGTACAGATTCTATCATGATTCCGTCCTTAGGTACTTGGAACTGAGAGTGACGGAATCTCGACCACGATGCTGCGACAATCAAACCGCGCAGTGAGCAGACAAACGCAAAGGCATGCTTCACGGTTTGTAGGGCCACACCTGCAAAAAACAACGATGTTGGAAAACCTTTTTGTGTTCGTCAAATTGACGTGTAGTGATCGGCAATCGCACATTAGGCCACATGGGAAATAGGGGTTTAACAATGACTGACGATGCGATTAGCACAAGTCAATGTCACCGAAGACAGATTCGCTGGGCCGCACAAGTCACGCGAAGGACCAGTCAGGGCCGCGACGTTAGTTTTACTTTGCGAAGTGACTCGCGGTAGTCAGGTATTCTTGCCCATGTATGGTTTCGTGCAGTCGCTGAACGTGGCAGCATCGGACCCAGATGGACAGATGGACGAAGGAGCGAGTCGTCGAGTGCTTCGAACAAAGAAGGCTTTCGCTTTGACAACAGTTGCTCACCAGCAATCGGAAGGATTCCAACAAGAGTCTAGGGAATTCAAGAAACAAACTCAAACAGACTTCCGAAGAATCCCATCTCTTCAGATTTTGACAAAACAACTTGAAAAGGACTTATACAGCAAAATGAGCTAGTAACAATTTTAAGGACATCCAACAACCAATGAGGCTGAAGGAATGCAACAGGAAGCTGTATAAGAAAAATGACAGGAATCAATATGGAAGCAAGACAGAAGTCCGGGCAGTCAGACAAGTCCAGGGGTTCATTCTTCATTCAGAGACCAGATATTTTACCCACTCCAGTGTTTGTCCGGCCTTCCGTAAAACATGGTCCTATTTAAGAACTTCCGGTGCAGGCAACGTGTGTCGCATGTGCACCCAGGTCGCTTGCGGAATGTTGCTGCAGCGACTTTTTGATTTATGTCCTGAAGCGCGAGGGGTGTTCACGGCAAGTTGTCTTGCCAATGCTATTTCGATGCATGGTGCGTTGCCGCTTTTCGCTTGTTTACACCATCCTGCCAGGATTTGAATCCCATTGCAAAGGATCGCTTGGTACTGACCACAGTTCCCGTAGACGGTGGACGATGATGAAATGCACTTCGAAAATCGCCACCCCCTTGCCTCAGGTTTTTGAGGGGGGACGTAAAAAAATGTAAGTTACATTTTGGGGGGGGGCCATAAATGTATGTTGGACCCCCCCTCTACTTTTTGACCGGTGGCTTTCCTGGGGATTGACCGGTGGAAGTTTAAGCTTTTTTTTTTGGGGGGGGGATGTGGGCTGGCAGGGATTGTGCAGGATTCCCCAGGGATCCCCCAGGGAATCACCGGTGAGTGCTCAGAGTGCAGGAGGGGGGGGGGAGGGGGTGGTAAAAATGTAACTTATTATGTGGGCACGTGGCAACTTACATTTTACAGGGTACCTCTGAAAAGGTAACATATCACCTAGGCACATGGTAGCTTACATTTTACAGGGTACCCCTCAAAATGTAACATACTAACATACTAATCCTCAATGATACTCTGTGAATCCTGGAAGGAAAGCGTGTTTGTTCCAATTTGGAGCTTGCTGCACTCTTGAAGTTGCTGAGATCTGTTGGCTTCTAGGCAGAAGATGGCAGAAGTGATGATATATAAACAAGATATATATAACAAGATGGCATCAAACAAGATTTGATTGCATCTTGCATTGCAGACGTAGAAAATGTAAGCTTACATTTTCTACGTCTATTTCAAAAAATGTAAGCTTACATATTTGAGGTATCAAACCAGGACCCCCCCCGGGAAAAATGTAACTTACATTTTTTTAGGTCCCCTCTCCCCTAACAGGTAGCGATCTTCGAAATGCTTCAAGAGACATTGCCTTAAGATTAAAAGATGCTTCAAAAGCAGCCGAGAGTCCTACAGGCAAATGCAGCGAGAGCATTGCAGAAGCAGGACTGCAGTTGGATAAGACTCATGAAGACACCGTTATACCGTGCTTGCCTGCATGGCACCAGTGTTGGACCTCCCTGCAACATCTATGAAATGGAAAACCAAGTACTGTAGATTTCCAGGATACCATGTCTTCAACCGCGCGTTGGATCACTGGATCACAGACTATCAAACAAACATAGAACACCTGAAGGATGAAGGGAGCGCCGACGATTTAGGCGGGCTTTCCAGCGACTGATTTAGTTGGCTGATCAGTCGCTGCCCACCGAGACGCCGGTCGCTCTCAGGTTTGGACGACATCGACGCCAGAGACTCTGGAGCTGTGCCCGAGCGTTAAAGATGCGCACTTTGCAATGTAAGGATGTTGTCTTCCACCCACAAGACTCCACACATTGTCACACATTTGCTGCTAGGCAACCGATTGTCCCAAGCGTATTTCGTCCGCCATGGGCTCAAGAAGCACTCTAGGATACTCTAGGATAGATACCAAGCACTCGGCCATGGACATCAAACGAGGATTCACACCAACACTTAGAGGTAAACTCTCGCCAGCTCAATTCGTAGAATCCACCCAGGATTGGTTCCACATTAGGACGTCCAGCCATGGCCTCATGGGAAACCTTAAAAGCGAGAGCAAAGGCCGATTAGTGCGCTGCCAGATCCACCACCGTCAACGGGTTGCCAGCTTGCCCTCCCTTTGACATCCTTTTACTAAGCTTAAGATCGAACCAAGTAATCCTTATCCGGTCGGTTGCTGTCTTCAGGGATGCTATGTCTATGCCTAGTGTACTTTTGGATGAACCATCAAGGACTCCTCAGAGGATTTGAGCGGCTACTAATCGTGGATTCATTACCAGTAAGAATGCTCCGGACTCGTCGCGATGCTCCGTTCGCCCCGTTCGTCGCGTTCTTGTCTGGTTGTGACCCGTTGAGGGCCAATCTGTTTGTAGCGGTCCACAGTCCAATTGGACGACTTCTCCTTTTCGAGGCCTTTGATGGATCATTCTAGATCAAAGACGCTGTGCTCACATTGAGACACGCAGACCGAAAATAGCACCGTTTGCCACTGTGACGGTAAATTGAAGGACCTTTGTTCGATATCGGAGAGGCACTTTGGCTCTGGCTTGCACGCTCGTTCCCTCTCTGGCTTGCACTCGCTCCCTTGCTGTTTGGCAATTTGGAAGGTCTTTCCAGTCCTGCTTCTACTCAATGAACGTTTTTATGTTGTTGTGTCCCTGAGAAGCAGCATTGTGTCCCCAGCGCTGAGTCAGCGACCACGTTATGCGCGTGACAGGTTGGGGTCAAGCCGTGACCTCCTATTCTGCAGTCCGGTCATGACGCTTGTGAGGGTGTCGCGCGAGCTTACAAGCGCTTTTCAACCTCAGAATTGTTCAGAACGAACTGAAACAAAGGGTGGCCGTGTATCTCTAGGGCTCCAAATACCTCGGTTTTGAAGGTGTTCGGGTTATAAGTTCCTTCTGACAAGGTCTGTGGAGGTGTAGAGGACTCATGGGGGATCCGTTGGAATGTGCCGCTTGGCCAGTGGTGGCTACCTGCGCTACTTGGCCACCGACCACGGTGCCATCTGAGCCATGTTCCGGATGAATGAGCTGGCTCGCTGGTGTGCTAGCCGGGTCCCCTCATGAGCGGCTCGCTGGTGTGGTTTGCTCTGGGTCAACCGCTGGTGTGGTTTGCTCTGGGTCAACTAGGTCATGGACGATCATCAAACAATGACTTGCTGCTTCATTGGTGTGTGTATGTATCGCATGGCTTGTTGCATGGATTCCCGGAAAGAGAGTGGCGTGGTGTGTTGCATGCCACGGTCGTGCACGCCCTTTCTTGCCACGAGGGACAGGGAGTTTCTTGTTTGCCTTTCATCAAGACGGCCATTGTTTTTGTTGCTTGCCGCTGCCATCATTTTGAGTTTTGCTGGCTGACCACTGTGAGTCAGTAGCGTGTCAGGCGTTGAAGTCCGAATTGGACACCAAAATGCAGGACACACCTGCTTGGAAGATGGTCGCCTGTCGCCCACTTTGTGGGAATGCTGCGCTTGTTCCAGGACCTTGGCCGCCTCAACAAACGACTTAGTTCTGCTTCAGCATCGCCTGCAGACCGCGTTGCTGAGCTTGATGGGTGCGGGGCCGTGCTGCGTCACACCATTTGGTCTGCACGATGACCGATCCTCAGCCCAGGCAGATCAAACTTGTGGTGGGCCTAAGAGAGGAGGTGCCAACAGACAACTGTTGACCGAAGAACCGCGTTGAACGAGCTGGTAGGTCGAGAAAGGTTTGAGCCAGCTGGAGGACTGGCTTGCGAGACGTGTGTGCCAAAACGGAGATTTTGAAGGTCAGCAGGTATGTTGGATGACTCAACGTTTTGGTATTGTGAAAGGAGGCCAGCGAGTCGCTTGCGAATGTGGCTGCAACAAGTGCCCAAGCAGCCCAAGCAGCGCAGTTTCGTGAAACTCAGCAGGATTTAGAGCTGATGCTGTTGTGAAGCTGATGGCTTTGAGTGTTAAGCTGCAAGCTCTACAGTGGTCGCAGGAGATGTTGAGGGATTTCAAAAGAGTGGCGCAAAGCATCGACCACCAGTACCAGCATGCAAGGTGGGTGACATTCTGAGTGGACATGAAAGTTCTTGCATAGTTGGACTGGAGGCTACTTCCACATGCGAAAGCCAAGCCGGGTTCTCTAGTTCATAGTCTTTCTTGCTTCTCTCGTTTTTTAGTCTTGCAGAGTCTAAGGTCTGCAGTCTCGCCGACATGCCTTACACGTCGCCATTTTTTGTTTGGTTTGGCACCTGTGAACGGCATGAACTGCCTTGTTTGGAGGATCCAGAAGACGGCCTTCTTCGAGAACGCTACTTGACAGCAAAGCAATTGTTTGCGACCTTACTGTGAACCATGCAATCATTTCAGGTATGGGCCTCAACTCATCTTTGTCAATGGCAGATGAAATCATCGGCCAAGCAACTTCAACCAGAGATATGCTCATGAACCAGCGGAGTGTGCCTTAGAATCAACTAAGTGCGTTGCTGGACGCTGGACTTACCAATTGAACACTATCAAACATGTCCATGAATGAGAGTCATGCCTGCCCAAGTCATTCAGCTTCTGAAGCCACATGCAGAACAGGCACAGCGGAGCCACTGCATGTTCTGTTAAAAGTGTTTTGTGGGTTAAGAATTAGCTTGTGCAAAGAGTAGTGCTGTATTATGCTGTATTATGCTGTATTGGTTCCATATGTCCTCAGCATTATATAATAATATATACAACCACAGCCAAAGGGCAATTCCCCGAACATCAATCAGCATCAAGCACATCGCATGTGTGGGGTCCAAGGCAGCTTGAGGGATGCTTGGAACCAGCAAGGGTTTAAAGGACGCTCATGATATCAATGATATCAATATTCTTCTAGAGCCTGCATTACATCATAATCATGTATACATATTACATCAAACAAGTGTTAAATTAGAGGGTGCTCCCTTTCCCTTGGCGGATAGTTACAGTCTTTGGATGTCTTTGGGAGATCTATGCACAATATAGGCCAGGTACTATAGAAGCCACCAATGGCGTTGTAAATGGTCAAGGTAGACGCTCGGAGTACCAGCATTGAGCAGATGGTACATATAGGTCAATCTAAACAAATGGAAACAAGTGGTAGAGCCAAGAGCATATAACGATATGAACTCAATTCTTGGTCAGAATTGAGATTTGCCTTCACAGTGTGTCAACTTGCTGCCCAGTACTCGCATATGTACCAGATTCAAGTGCAGTTTTTGTTTTTTGCCAGCATCAGCAGTTTCACGTCAGTCTACAAATCGAATTCAATCCTTTCTATGAGCTGGCCGCATACAATCTTGAGTCGTGAACAACACTGAAGCGCCAGACACGTAGAGTGTTAAGAAATCCATGCCAACCAAGACAGCAGACGCTTAAGACCTAATTGAAGAATCCCAGAGAGCGTAAACTTCAAGCCTGGTAGGCACTGCTTTTGTTGCGCCAAACTCTGCGTGCAGGATGTGCATGTCTTTTTAGAGTCTTTAAGTCTTAAGTGACATTGCGCAACACCTATGTCCGAGATTTGACATTTGGACAGACAGTTTGTGGCCCAAGCTTTGCACAACATGCAAGTCTTGGATTTCCGGGATGTATATAGAGGTTCCCAAACTACGTTGCACAACATCAGCCCGAAAGACGTGGATTCCCGCCTTGTACCTCATTTGTACTTGTCTGAATCTCCCACCCCTCTCGCTGACCTTGGCGGAGATTGCTGCCCAGCATTGCAGCATATTGCAGCTAAAGAAGTCCTGAGAATGTACGTACTTTGGGCGACATACTTACTTTTGTGTGAGGTATGGCCGCAAAATATACGTATCTCTAGGGGACTGGGCCTCGGCAACATCCGTTGCCCATTGCTTTTTGACATATTGTCACTAAACTGCTGTGCTCGATCGAATCACTGTTTTACTTTCCTGCACCATGGCTAGGTCTTGAGCATGTCAAGCGCTGCAAGTGCTGGTGAGCGCTGTTTTCAAATCATGACTAGGAAGACTCCACCCTGCTAGACAAGAGCGGACGCAGATGCCGAACCGCCTGCCCAGGTGCTGAACAGCGTGCATTCCAGAGTTGGATCGTTGAGCTCAATGTTTCCTGGCATTAACACCCTGATCGACAAGATCTCTGATCGGCAGAACAAGGAACCGTTTGTCAAAGTGACATTCATGCAATGCACTGAGCCTTGGTTGCAGGAGCGCGTGGTGCTATCCATCACTGTTGCGTGGGGCCACACAGAAGTGTACTGCTGGAACTGAAAAAACACTGATGGTGGCTTTTGTGCTCAGGTCTTGCTGCTTTTTCACGATTTGGTACAAATTTTTGTGAGCCGATCGTGAGCCTTTTGGACTTGGGGGGGAACTCTCCCATGTGGGGCAACTCACCGAGAGTGGGCTCGCAGATGTGAAAGCTTTGACTGAACGCAAGCTGGTTCGTTTTGAGTTGGAGGGGCGGACTTGGGGCCTCGTTGCGGCCTTGTTGTTTTTTACTCTTCGCTTTAAATCAGAATGTGCGGCCATTGGCTCAGCTGGCTTGATTCCAGTGGAACAAATGACCCGGGTATGCGGGAGCCTTGGGATGCGTTGGTATACAGAATGAGCATTGGTAGAGATTCGACAACTTGTGAAGATAGCAAATGCACGTTCTTTCTCATTGGTTTTGATGGTCATCAACGCTGCGCAAAACACTCTTTTGTGTTTCAAGAATCAACACAACAATGATCAAAGAAGCAGGAAGGTTGATCCTGGATTGGAAGTTGTTTGCATTTGTGTGCAGACACGGACATTTTCTTTGCAATCTATATAGGGACATCAGGTGATGTTTGTTTCGGACAGAAGAAGCTTGTGCTGCATTCGTTGGTCTTTAAGGTCTGACCCGAACTTCAAGCTTTTTGCTATGTAGTCTCTTTGCCTTGAGCCCAACGGCGCAGGACAGTGCAGCGTTGAATGAGTCTAGAGAGCTTTGAGCTGCTTGCAGACTTTCAGAATCATGCTTACCAGATGCTCAGGTGCAAAGTTTTTCCGAAGAGCGGCGGCTTCAGCCGAATGCAAACCCCCTAGACCTGTTGGGAAGCATCACACTCACGGCATTTGCTAAGGTCAAGGCCATTCAGACACCTCAGAAGAAACCTATTTGCAAGGGGTTTACGCTGAGGAGATCGTGTGCGATGACGCAGCCAGATGGTCTCAACTGCCATGGGTGCGCCTTAAGCGATTTGCACTTGTCACACGTGCAACGTTTGTGTTCAACAACAGGCAACATCCATGAATGTGCAATAGACAATGGAAGCTTTGAAACAACTGGACTACATGAAAATTTGAGCTGCTCATACTACTGATGTTTCTTTGACTTTGTGTTGTCTGGACAGGATTACCTGAGCTTTCAGGAGGTTCGGTCTTGGACCACACTGGGCTGGACGTCCGATGCATAGAGTTATGGTCTGTCCTTTCAGACGACCCGGGTCAGGGCACGCTTCGCCAGTCTGGCGCCCTTTCTATCGCCCCGGAGCTCCTTTTCAAGTCTCCCCCCCTGCCTGTCTCGCCTTTTGCCCCTTTTTCCTGAGCTGAAGCACCTAAGTCTAAATCGATACATGTGTCATGGCAGTCAAGTGTCAAGCCATTGGCCATTTCAGCTCTTTTGGGTGAGTTCCCCAAGTGAAGGGCTCCGTTGAGACCACGATGACACCGTGACTGACCGGCAAAGGGATCCCTGCTGAAGAGAAAATGACAGAACTGACATCTACGAAGAGCTTGTCACGAGCGAACGCTACGTCATGAGTCATGAGTGGATATTCCGCTCGACAAATTTGCTGCACAACTGTGCAGCCGAAGCCAATGGAGGTACTTCATAGCTCCAGCTACCTCGTGATGTACCCAAGAGGTGATAAGTTGTATCTTAAGCTAACTGGTTGCCGATGTAACGTATCATGTTCAGAAAACATGGGTATGCGCCACAACCTGTGTTTCTCCTGGTGCTGCGCTGTTGCGCACAATTCTTCGAACCTTCGGCCTACAAAAGCCATCGTCATAACAAGCTGTGGCACGCTGCGGTAGAGACCGTCATGTTTGATAGCTGATGATTGTTGCTGTTTTTTTGTCAGCTGCTCAGGCGAGCAATGTGGGATGCAGCTCACCCCATTGCTACTACCTCCGCCATGGTCCCAGTTTGTGCACTTTGGGCCGTCTTTGAGCACAAGATATGCGTTTCATGACACAGATTACGTTTTATTCTACATTGCTGTTAGGTTGGAGGCCATTGCTATTAGGTTGGAGGGCATTTCTAGTAATATAGGTTGGAGGCCATCGCTAGTGGGTGGAGGCCGTCGCTCTTAGGTTCCTTTTGCTATTGGGTTGGAGGCCATCGCTATTGGTGTCAAGGTGATGTGGTGTTTGCATCGACCCATCGATCCGTTTTTTTCCGCTCATTCTGGTGAGTTCCCAAGGTGTTATCAGTCACCACCACCTTTGGCAGAAGGCGCTGACGCACCAGATTTAAATGGGGTAGGAAATGGGACTTAGGACATTGTGATTCAATGTGGTAGTCAACAAGAGTCTATAATATAGACTGAATTTGAGCATCCGACAAATTTGCGAAGACTAAAGTGTCACACAGTGGACGTGCGATAGGAAACCTGCATGAAATGAAACCTGCATAAGCAATGGGGGGCCGACCCATCTACCGATGTCCTTCATATACCTATATAACTACCCAGAAGCCTGCATAAGAACACATTTCTTCATCTTCAATGTTTGAAGGTTTTGACAGAATCTTTGTGATTTGTGTCGTAGATATCGTGGAGATTCGTGGAGTTATTTTTTTGTATGTCTTTTGCGCAGGTCTCATCTGTGGGGTTTTGTGGTGTGACCATTGCCGGCCTAACACAGCCCTTCCAGTGCAGAGTGCAACCACCTGTAACCACCTGCTGCCCAGGGACTTCCCAACCAAGGTCTTTGATGAACAAAATACTATATATCATTAATTATATGATTATATATAGGTCCTGTTTTTGAGCCCTGGGTACCAACAAGTTGGAGCAATGTCTACACCAGCAAGCTACAACACCAGCAAGCTACAATTGCACTGTTCAGGAATGGCTCCAGATGTTTCGATTGGTGCAAGGGAGAAATTGGATCGAGCGCATCAACACTGAATCATTGATTCAATGGATTTCAATGAGGAAGAAAAGATTTATATAAGCAGCTGCCCTTTACAAAATCAAGTTTTATCGATTCCCCCGCTTTCCTTGTCATCTCCGACCGGCACCTTTGGTCCTTTCGTTTGTGACCTGTCAGTCACATCGATCATCTGAGTCACAGCAGTCGAGCCATGTTGAGCCCTATGATCAGCGTCCGACGCAGCGTCTAAACACATCCATGCCCCAAAGGAAGAACACAGATCCAGCATCTATCTATACTATATCTATATAAGATATACTTGTTGCCAGCAGAATAAGTTTCACTAAGGACTATGAATTCCAGGGACTAGAACGGTCAATTCAACCCCTCCCCTCGTAGTTTTCGGCGCGAATGAACGTGTTGAGTCGCTGTTCGCTTTTGGGGACGCCACGTCCGGTGGGGTGGGTCCAGACGTGTCGCGTCCTGGTTGAAGGTTGAAACTCGAGGATGAGGATCCCTGGAGATCTCAAGCTGGTGAGGATGCAGTCGAGCCAGGCAGATTTGAAGCTGGGGAGGTAGGATTTTTCTGCTTTATTTGTAAGCATATTGAACGGAACAAAGCTGTCGTGAAGAAACTGAGCTTTCCAGGCAGAAGGAAGCTGCAGATCGGGACCGTCCTGTACATTTCGCTGTGCATTTCAATGGGGAAAGACTGAGAGACATTGCAAGACATCATGATACCAAAAAACCCTGTGTGTCATGATGTCCAAAGTAAATACGATGTTTGATGCAAGTTGGAGTTTGCTTGTAGGACAATGCCTCCCACCACAAGCACTACAACCCTTGTGCCTGTGGCCTTGGTGTGCAAGACTGCCGTTCTGGTGGGACTTTTAAAGGATACATCTTTGCATTTGCTGTGTGAAGCGTTTGGTAAGGCCTGCAAGCGAGACATCTTGCTACCAGGACTTAACAGAGGCCAGTGACAAGATCTCAACGATTATATAGTAGTATTTTTCCCATTCTTGCACTTGCTGCAAGGCTCAGCAAGATGCAGTGCGGACATTGGGCTACAGTATTTCATCATGGCACGTGTGTGGTCGCCCAGAAGTTCAACGTGTTATGAGAATGAACGAGAATCCGCCTTTGAGCTGAATGGCATTTTTAGTCATCAAGTCATTCTGGCTTTGGCCTTTGAGGTGCAAGAATCCTTCCTGTGCTTGGCCTTCAGGGCTTCCGGAGCCTAATGCCCCCTGTTTGGAGGCGCCCGCCTATGCAACGCGCGATCCGCGATCCGCGCGATTGCTGTAAGCGATGCGAACCGTACAGCTTTGTAGGGCTTTCACGGTGCTTTTGACACCTGGGCAGGTGCTGGAGTGGTTTGAAACCTCGTTGCTGCCTTGGTGATGATGACTCTTTGGCAGACATGCCTAGTGTACAACAGATGCAGAAATCCTTCAAATGCTTCAATTCTGAAAGACGTCAAAGATGGCAAGCATTGTCACACCCAAACACTTTCCCAATGTCAATGTTGGCTTGCAAGTTCTTGACGACGGGGTTTGATTAGCCTATATGGCTGTTGGTCAAGCCTCACCCTACAAACCTTGGAAGGTTGACATCCCGAACATAGAGGAATTTGTTCATTTTCAGGGTCAACCAGGGTGCCAGGGTTTTGACCCACTGCCATATTTCGTCAATTTGCCCACGCTTTGCCTAGCTCCTCTTTGTCGCTTTGCCAACATTGACAATTCGTGGAGAATATCTCGGGAGAGGGGTGGTGGCTGTGGGAGCACTCTGTTTATCGATGCTTGGATGTGAATCGATGCCGCAGGTTGTACACGAGAAACTGGGCCGATCTCACCCAGTCCAAGCGCGCTGCTTTGGAACTGCTGGGATGGGTGATCCAAGACCATGTTGAGCGCGCTGCGCTTCTGCAGAGACGAATCACTTGTCTCTTGTCACTGAATTGATTTCTTCAATGTCCTGCCAAACTCGCAGATTGTGCCAGGCGCATAGCCGATGGATGGTGATGAACTACCCTCTATCTTATGCTCAGATCGGAAGCCAAGTCGTTGCGGACTGCCAAGATGGTGCTAGAACAACACAAGCCTCCTCAAATCATGAGTACTCCGTTTCACGGGAGTTTTCTTGTACCGCGCCGCTTGAGCTCACTCCTGCCCACCTTTCTCTCGCCATCCAGTCTCACTCGGCCTTTTTTGATCAACATCTACGATGTACTTTTACATAATTAGTGTATTCTATTTCCCGTTTGAGTTCAAGTTTGCATTGGTCCGTTGCTTAGTTTATTCGGCCGCAG